TTCTTTTTTTTTTTCTTTTTGTTTCTTGCCTTAATTATTAGTGGGTTTTTTCGTATCAATATTTCATTTGTTGTAGTAGATAATTAATCAATAAATTATATTAAAAAAAGAAAAAAGAAAGTGTTTACTGAAGGCAAAAGTTTCTATAGTGTCAGTTAAAAAGAAATCCTTGATGCGCAGTTGGAAGAGCCAATCGCCAAGACCCCGGGCCAGAAAATATTTGACCAATTGAAGTTCCAGGTCTTCATCGTTTAAGTTGACCTATTTCATTCATGAACATACTATAGTACACCCCTACTATAGTACTAAGACCCTTCACAAGACAACCTGATAAAGAAAACACTCGGACCAAAGGAGTTTCTTCATTCTACTTGAGCTAAGGTTTATAAAGTATGTTCTGGAATCGCATTCAACAGCTATTATGGTGATAGTTCAAATGTTTTCCCGCAATCAAAGTCATTCATTTCGGGCTAAATGATTGTAAGAATGAATAGCATTTATTTTTGGAAGCCTAGCGAGTGCGTCGGCGTGTATTATATATGATACATGACTATAATTACTCTCACTAGAAGTTCTTGTAAACTGATTTCGTAACTGTCTCCCATCCACTTTACATTAGGGGACTTGAGAATTGCAAAACATCTGCGACGGTGACGTCAGCAGGAAGTGTTAAAAATTCTCTTTGGGGTTCTGTTCATTGGAGATTTCATCCAAAACATTGTCAGACAAGTCAACTCATCCACGGGAAAGATAGACTTTGAAGTCGCGAAACCCCAAAGGGAAGTTTTTTACACTTCCGGTTGACCTCACCGTCGTAAATCTTGCAAATCCGCAAGTCCCCTAAATATTAGTGTGTGCGTCGATGTTTAAAGAGGGTGATAATGATCCCAACTCAGTAGAGGACCTTTTAGACCGCACTTGGTTATTTTATTATTAGTTAGTGCGTCGGTGTTTTAATGGGTACGATACATGGCAATAATTATCCCCCAAAATGATCGTACCTGTCTCCCGTGAGCTTTACATTACTGAGCATCGAGTGGTCTGTGAACAGGAATTGCTCTTCACGAGCTACCTGTGCTGAGTTTGGGTAGGTGCTTGATGCAGTACAAACATCCACACCACTAAGATACCTCAATTGAAATATATATTTTAGTATTCTGCTTAGAACACCATAGATAAATTACATAGCAAAACAGTGGCGCGCGAAAACAAACTTATTGCGCTGTATTTCTGTTTCTCGTTCGCTTTTATTATTTGGCATACTACGTCGGCCTAATTCCTAATTTTATTTTTGAATATCATTGTTATCTAAAATGAGCTCCGTGTGATGTAAATAAGAAGACTTAAAAATAAAAATCTCTTTTCTTTTGTATATATTCATCATCGAAGTATTTCTATCCTTGGGAAACATCCAAAGACTATTGCTATAGCAACGATAGTGAGTCATATGCTTCTGTTATATGCCTACTTGAGAGTCATACGTGAGTGTTAATCCAGTCTGTGACGCAGTCTCTGATGTTACGAAATCTCCGAGTTTGTTACTAGGTGCAATCTAACGTCATCATTAAGTATCAATTATTATTATTTATTATCGTTATCATTATAGTAGACATTTTCTTGCGTAAGCCTGTGAACTATCTAGTTCTTCGTCCACACGTTTACATGCAGCCACCAAAGTGCTGAACGAGAGATGCTGGATTTTTTGTCCACTGATGGGGGAGGGGAGGGGAGGGGAGGGGCGAGGGTTATCTCTAAGTCAATCTTTACGGACTACAAAAAAGTGAAGTTTAAACGTCTGTTAACAATAATTTGATTTCTCCAAAAAATCTTTCTTATTAAGGCGTTATTTATATCCATTTTCAGTAGATTTTCCGTGTTTTAGAAATAAGACCTTGAAGGGCGTCGGCACAATGTGCTTCCATGAAAAACTGCTCATTAACCAATCACAAATGGTGTTAGTACGCCATGTAACCGTGGATTTGATTGGCTAATGTAACGTAGTATAAATAAAGCAGTAGAAGGATTGTATTCAGTGCGGGGAGCGCGCGGCAACATTCGAAAGCAAACTCGTGAAACGAAAAAAGCGTGAGAATAGCTAATTTTGCACTTCCCATCAACTCGACACCTTTCTTGACCTTTAAAAAGTTTAAATTTTACATATCCAATGCTTTAATACGACATAGTATTCGACTCACCTATTTTACTGTGGTTGTTGTTTTTCAAATTTCTTCGGTTCTTGTCTTTTAAAAATGGCTTCCATTCGAAGAACTTTGTTTCCGTCTACCCCGAATTCAGATACCGAACGATGTACAGATAATTCTCTTTCGGTATTATCGTGTGCTGAAGCTAGTGAAAATTCAAATACAGACAAAGACTGTGGTAATGGCGAGTCTGCAGAGTTTAATGACGTTGTACTTGAAGAAAACACGGTAGAGTAACTGAGGTCGTAGCTTAACAAACGCCTTCATAGCTAAACAAACGAATACCATTATGTTCTTGCTTTTATTATTTGTATTCCTCATTTCTATAGGACCGTGCAAGCAAGAAAGTGCTGGTTGTCGGCGTGAGCATGACCGATGATATTTGCAAACAGCTCTCTGGCATGCCATTGTTACAAGACATCTCAGTTCTCTCTTGTTCCCCAAACAATCTCCTAGCCATTTGCAGCAAGGAGAAATTTCTACTTATTTTTCTGGATAAATACTGCGAAGAGACCTGTATATCAAAAATTTGCTCAACACTGAGGTAAGCTTTTATTCTTTCCAGAGTAGTATTTTCTTAACTACTTTTTAGTGACTTGTTTCGCAATGAATAAGTACCAACACTAGAATGGTTTCTAGTTCGACGAAAGAATTGGACTCGCACGTTTTAAAATGTATGTTATAAAGTTCGATATGTGACATCATAAATATCACGGTGAGTTTTTGTTGCAGTAAGAAGTAATAACTTTTTGACCTAATTGTTTATCAACTTTACGTTACCTTTAAGGTACGACTCCTCCTCAATCAATTCTAATGTTCCTATCATCGGTGTCTCTGATGCAGAAAGAGGTAAAATATATAAACTATATCAGAAAGATTAGAGCACTCAATTGCAGGAGATTTATAGTAGGTTGTTGAGGACAAAAACAGAAGCTAAATCCATAAGTTTGGCAGATTGCATTCATATTTTGATTTGTTTTAGATTTTATTTTAACATTTGTTGGGGGAGCCCTACACTTTTCTTAGATATATGGAGTGTGTCAATAATCTGGTTCATTTTCTTGCTTATAGATCATACAAGCAACTATGGACTGAATGAGGTTATTACATTCCCCTTGAGAGAAGAGGCTGTCAATCAGCTGCTTTTGAAGTTTGCTGGAATCATTCCCTTTAAAGGTAGAGCATATTGACCAAAAAGATACTAAGTGTATGTGTTATTAAATTGCTAAACAACTATTTTGCTTTAGGGTTACCCTTGACTCCAGAGAGTCCCGATGATGATGTTGCAGTGGCAAGAAAAGCTGCCGAAATCATGAGGGAATCAGAAGAGCAGTCAATGCTCAGCTTTAATAAGGATGGCTGTGTATCTAAAGACAGGTATTAATTTCTTCACAATATACACTTGTAAGATCAAGAAGAGTTACTTTACAAGGTGACCCTTGTAGGGAGGGGGTGGGGTGGCTAGCCAAACCAATCTTGAATTAAAATAAGAAAAAAACCCTTAACGAGCAATGTAAAATCTAAAGAGGATGCTATATGTACTGGCTTTCTAAGTAACAGCCATCACCCTTGAAATCATTCTGTATCTAATAATAATAATGATGGTGATGATGATGATGATGATAAATAACAATAAGTTATTTATATAGCACTGTATCTGCCAAACCTTGAAATCCTCAAAATGATTCTGGGGGGAAATATATGCCATCTTTTTGTGTTTATTTTAATTCATTTCTTCTTGCAGCAAAGAGGTTAAGTCATCGTTTGATCCTCCAGAGGAACCAGACTCTCCCTCCAAACAAGTCACTTGTAGCTTGTATAGTAATTCCAACAATAATCTTTACTTACCGTTATCATTTCCCATGGACCAAGACCACAGTACTAATACCAGACAACAGACTCTAAACTATAACACTACAGCTTCTCAAGAGTTCACTAGAAGCACTGTAAGTTCATTTTATAACGCAGACTCTTTTCGGACAAGGGATCATGCTTCTTGGGAAATTCCCCAGGATTTTCCATCAGGTCATATGACTCAAAATGTTGTATCAGGTCAGCATATGGGTATATATGGTGATCATGTCATTGGTTGCCACAGTAGCACTAGTGTATCTGGTATATATCAACATAGCTATCCTGCAGTGCCAGGGTCAAATCAGTTGCCTTTAAAACCAGTGTCCCAGTATCTAACAACTAACAACTCTTACGGCAACAAACCACAAGATAAGTCAATACAGTCACGCAATGTTATCCAACCTACTGGGAATATGACATCCTCTTTACCCACACAAGTGAAAATGAATACCTTTGGTACTCCAGCGTACATGGTTAGTGGGGCACCAGGAACCAAGGACATGAAAATAACTATTCTTCCTGAAGATCTTTCCAAGCACAGCTCCAAGGAGAGAATTAGAAGGTTAGTTTTTATCTACGAGGAGAGGAGTTAAGTTACTGTATAGAGAGGAGTTTTTAAATGAAAATACAGTGGCAAGGCTGCATATAAGTGCACCAGTCACCAGACAAATGTCTTGTAAAAAAGACCACCTGACTGGTAAACTATTCACCATGGCTGGACATTTGACCAGTCACACTTGCCTTTGGCCTGACAAATGATCTGTTTATCAAAAAAAATTATTTGCAGCCTTTTATTTATCTCTCCTAATTTCCCACAAATTTACTTTCTTACATCTCTCCCTTCCCAGAACTCCAATTGCTTTCTCTTCCCATTTACTGCTCTTAGAATTGAAAAACTATGAAATCCCATTCATCATTCATCCCATTCATCAACATTGCATTTTCCCTTTAAATAGCACAGTACCGAGAATAACTTTAACATTTCAGGGAGAGAATAAAAGAAAGCTGTGACAAGCTACGTTTTCTACTTCCAAATATTTCAGGAAAGAAGACGGATATGGCATCTGTACGTATCAATAACGACCTACCATGGGTGGATTGAGGGGTGGGCCCAAGGGGCTGCACTCTCTTTATTGTTGTTAGTCATAGAGGTTGCTCTGGTGCCAAAATTTTCTGGCCCCCCCATACTCCAATTCCTGGATCCGCCAATGCCTACCATTATGTCCAGTGTGAATCTAAAATTTTGGGATGGTGGGTATAAGTCACTATGTGTGAAGATAATATAATCAATATCAACCATACCTTATAACGTTGTTGTTACAGTGTGCGTCATCATCATATGCATCATCTTCACTATCATCACTATCACCATCATTACCATCCTCATCACCATTAACATCACCACTATCACCATCATCTCCACCATCATTTTCACTATTTTCATCATTATCACCATCACCAACATCATCATCATTACTATTAATATCTTTATCTATCATCATCTTCACCTCTCATCATCATCACCTGTCACCACTTATCATCATCACCTATCATCATTATTACTTATCATCATCACCTATCATCATTATTACTTATCATCATCACCTATCATGATCAATAATCCTAAGTGTATTAAAGATTCTCTTGTTTTATCTCTTTATTTCAGATCCTTGAAATGACAGTCAAATTTGTTAAACTGGTTAATGAGAGAACACCAGCCCCAGTTATGCAAGAGGTATGAGCCACCAGTAATGATGACAATGATGATGATAGTGATGACGATGATGATGATGAAAGTGATAATGATACTGATGGTAATGGTGATGATTGTGACTATGATGATGATGGTGACTATGGCAATGGTGGTGGTTTTGATGATGATGATGATGATGATGATGAAATTATTTAAAAAAACATTTACTGGGTACTCGTTAGTTTACATGATGTTAGTGATGAATAATTTGTATTATACACTATAGATTGCAGAATCTCTTTCTGTGGACACAATAAGTCTGTGTAGAAAAAGGGGCCAAAAAGAGCTGGCAATACAGCCTTCTAAACAGGCAAAGCCAAGGTGATAATGATAAATTAATACTGTAAAAAAGTCTAGATGAAGCATTATTAAGTTAATCAAGGTTGAGTTCTTTCCTACCCATCTGCTACAATCTTTAATAACATTGACATAAATGAGAATGTGTGATAAATATTGGAGGGAAATAGACCAAATATTATATGGAATGTTTTTCCATATCGGACCATGTGTCATTCCCTTTAGTCTTCCCCTTTTCTCCTTTATGGAAACATAAATAAGGACCACTGGACTTGAAGAAAATATCTTTGCCCCAAATATCTCGACCTGGGGTGGTTGCTTGGGGGCGGTGGGCGTAGCCCCAGTATCTTCAGTTTTTGTCCTTTTTATTTATGTATAATAATTGTCTAGCTTAGAATAATCCAATAGTAATTATGTCAATCTTATTTCTTATTATGTCTAATTTATTTTATAGCTTCATAGTTTATCGTAAATTTATCTTGTGTGTATGTTATTGTAAATTAGATAGTTTTATCRATAGGDGAAGAGCCACCTCGTGGATTCTATTGATTAAACCATTATTATTATTATTATTATTATTATTATTATATCCTATCCATAAAGGAATTATTATAACATGGTCTGAAATGAGAAACTATTACATTAATTACACCATTATGGATTCTATCTTTAGATTGGTCTCACCACAACTTTCTGTACCAATGGTCCCTTCTGTAATGCCTGCAGATACCCAAGGACACTACAGACTAAGGGGCCCTCCTATTGTTGGTAATAATGGCCCAGTTTACCTTTCACATGTACATGGACAACATTGTACTCCTACTCCTTACCAGTACAGTCAATACCCACCTACAATCAACTATGGTTCGTCATATAATCCCTTAACAAAGGATATTCAGGGAGGCTATTATCCTGGTACACATACTAGCGTCGTTAACCAGGGTTATTCTTGTAATGTTTCCAAGGATACCGTTATTCCAGTGGTTCAGACATTTCAACCGCCACAATCCACAAATGCTCAGATCTGCCATCCTATGAATGCACAGATAAATGTCTGTCAACACAGGCCTTTACCTGGAAATACTTCTAGTACCAATAGTGACATGCCTCAGCAATGGAGTTTTCTGAAACTACCGCCTATAAACACAATATCTCCTTGTAGTAGTACTCATTTTAGTAGAAGTAGCAGCGAAGAGCAATCAACAGGATCTAACATGTCATCCCCTAGTGGTTCAATGAATTCACCTTTGTGGGATGAACCAAGGAATACATCTTGTCCTCTATAGCAATCGGATGCCAAAAATTGGGTCATATATTATAGAAAGTTTAATATTCTGAAGTTGGTTTAAGATTCTTGTGTTGGATTATACAGCATCGGTACAGTATGTGTGCGCTGGGCTAATAAACTAGCTGGGATGAAGGAAATAATTCTTCTTGTCCTCTATAGCAAAAGGACGCAAAAGGGCTATATATTATAGAACGTTTAATATTCTGGAGTTGGAATACACAACATTGGTACATGTATGTGCATGCTGAGCTTTAGACCCCTTGCCTGTGAAGTTAGAGCAGCTCGTCTGGGGAACAAAACAAAAGAATTCCAATCTCCCAAGAATTCGAACCTATTTTGCCCCCAGATTGAGCTGCATTATAAAGTGCTGCAAGGGGTCTATTAAACTTCAATATTGGTCAACTTATAAATGTCATGCATGCAAATGTTATGTGGTTTATACCAGTGGAATTACATAGGTAGTTATCACATTGATTCCTTTAATGACACTCATAGAAAAAACATTTCCCTTTGTACAACAATGGAAGACATTTGAAGTTTTTTATGAATTACTAAACGATCATTTTGTATAATATTTCATCTCTTGACATATATATACCAGAGGTGCATTATTGTCTGTATCCTAAGCTTGGCATATATCATTATAGTGAAATGTAATGTCAAAGCTCAATGCATTTTCTCAAACACTGACATACATAAGTATTAATGTCCAGTATACCTTGTGTGGTTTCTTAATGCCACATTTAGTTTTTTTGCAGTTCAATTGACAGTTTTATATATTTAATACCTTGCTTGCGATATGAAACAATAATTATTATAAAAACCTTGACAGTTAGAGAAATTTATCCTATCACAACCAGAATATAGATTTTTTTCTTAAATCATATGTGACCTCATGAGAATAGTAAGTCAAGCTAATTAACTGAACAAATAGAAATGTGTAAATTATTCTTGTATTGGCAATAGATTACTTGCATTATAGTATCATTTACTACCACTACCAGAATCCCTTGCACACTTTCTTTTGTTCAGTTAATTAGCACCAATTGTCTCACTATTCTCATGAGGAAACACAAATTTGAATAAGAAAGAAAATTCGCAAAACATCTTGGTAGTGGTAGTAAAAGGACGCCGTCATGCAAATGGCCTATAGATAAAACAGCTTAGAATAATTATTATTTATAAAAGTTGCATTAAGTTAATAATATTTTAGAAAAAAATTTAAACCTGTTGAAAAGTTTGAATGTTTTGAACATTTATACGAATTAAGAGACATGCAATTGACATTATATTTCTGGATTACGAATTATGATATGGTAGATATAGAATTGTTAAATTTTTCCAGAAAGTATAAATGTAAAAAATATTCGTAAAAATACTCCAAACTGTTTAGTTATTCCATGCAATTATTGTAAGTTGAAAAAAGGAAAAGAAAAGAAATAATATTGGTCAAAATTAATGTTCAAAAAGAAAATTTATATTTTAAAGGCAGATAAAATATCATGGCTGTTGAAATATATGTAGAAACAAACATTGAATGAACATATATATTTGATATTATAATTTACAAGACAGTTTATTTTTTATAATGTTAATTAAATTACTTCAAGTCAGGAACTGAAGATCCTAAATATACCTTTAAATTATCAATTGTAGAAGGGATAAGTTTACATGGTATGGTTGGAAGTCCTAGTCTTTTGTAGGCTTCATATCTATGACAACCACCAAAGGAATAGAAGTAATCACCACCTTGTCTACCTTTGATCCATAGCACGTCGATGGGTGGGACGAGGTACTTGGTATTTTGGCCCTAGAAGTAGATTTCATTAAACATGGTTAGATATCCTTTCATATTCTGTGTCTTATTGTCCCACCCGGCTAACAAAAAATACTGACTCCTCGCTGATGAAAAATAAATAGTTCTTTTGATATTGGAAGAATAATATGGATTTTTTTGGGGTTTCTATCATGATTGAGCACAGGGTTTATCTGAGCTAGATAACATGATGCATTGTGGTCTAGCTTGGGTACCAATAGTTTGTAAAGCCTGTACAGAATCAAACTAACTCATTATTTAGCACAAAAAGCAGGGGGCTTCAGGACTGGCAACCAGGGATATTCCTAATCTAGTCACGAAATGCATTGTTTGCCACAAAAATTTGTCCTTTTCCTCACCCACTCTCGTAGGTAACCCTTTAGTGAGTCCTCTATTCCTTTCCATGGTGATTTATGACCTTAAAGCTTGTATCTAGGAAGGCCAGTTTTCGTTGTTAACGCTAAACAAGCATTTGAAATAAATTTGATTCTCCCTCGTCTTGCTTTCGAAAAATGGGGTGCATTTTTACAGCCTCTTGTATTAGTAATCTAGGAATTAAATTTTAACTCATAGACTAATGTTGTTACTAGCTAGTAATGTTTATGTAAACAATTTTTATTAGTGGCTTAAATTGAATTGTCGGTGGGAATTGTACAAGTTCAAACGCTTGATGAGTACAATGTAGATTTGAATAACTGCAATGACTCAAATCAAGATGATTGAAAACATAACAAATTGGATAGCAAAACGGAATTATGAATTAATAAAGTAATAATATTAGAAGGATTGTTGTTTTACCTACAATTTTAAAGCGTCTAAAGTTTGACATATTACACGACAACAGAAATTTTTTTTAATTACGACACATTGTAAATTATCTCATAATATTTGCATGGCAATTTCTATAATAAAAGAGAATACCAAACCTTAATCGTCTCCATCAAAGAAGAAACTTTTTCTTGGTCGAGGGATGAAGGAATTGGACGAATAATAACATGAATAGGAACATCGTGAATTTCACTGATCCCAGCAGAGTGGACGCTTGGGTACCTACTCGCGATGATCGAGTTTTCGTGAGCCATACTTAGATTAGAAATAAGGTTTAGGTTTACTAAAACAGCGTAGAATAGTCCATGGCGTTTGTAGAATGGGCGCAGCATAAAGTTTTATTCCTTGATCTTTTCCTATTTTAGCGTTCCGAGTTCAACAAACCATCCGGTGTATTCGGCTCAAGGGTTCTGGCTGTGGGCTTCCTGTGGAACTAGACTAGCTGGAATAGGGCCAGGGGGAGGGGTTCTCATCGCTTTATTTCCAAAGACGTCATTTCCGGTGTACACAACTTCTTCATCGGTTGATGGGTTGTGGTGCATTATGGAGTAGTTTGGTTACAATATTTCTTGTTCACTAATGTAGTACCCAAGCAAGACCAGAATGCACTTTGTTTGTTGATAGGCAAATCCTATTGTAGGCCAAATCAGCAAGAGCTAGTAACACAAAGGAAGAAAAGCTATTGGTTGTGAAATGCATGGCTCTGATCAAAAAACACTTCAAGAACTTATTTAAATAGATAAAATGTTTTTATTACTTGAATATCTAACTTGAGAATTTTTGAAATTTAGATACAATGCTTTTTAATGCAAAGCCTAATTAAATCTATCCATATGATAAAGTACATTCCTGGTAAATTTTTTCAAATGTCAAAATGCATTATAAATGAGAAGTACAGTAGTTGTTTTTCATAAAAGGTGATAGATGGATGTACTTTACCCTACATTACGACTTTTCTTCCCAAAAAGAGTTTTTACGCAAAAGTCTGTAATTTCTTCACAGATTTTCATTTCTCATTTTTTCCCTAAAGAGCTCAATTTGACCTTTCATAAAATATGTTTACAATAATCTAAATTTGTTGTTTAATTTGATTTCTTTGGCTTTTTAGTGTTTTTCAGCATGATTACAGTTATGAATACACCTGCAATAAGAAAAGAAAGATTTATCCACATGATTGCACTCAAATGGTTTCCCTTGCACCCACCATATAACTGGCTTCCCTTGCACCCAACACACAAATGGTTTCCCTCGCACCCAAACACACAAATGGTTTCCCTTGCACCCAACACACAAATGGTTTTTGATGTAGCAAGCACACAAATGGCTTCTTCAAACACACAAATGGCTTCCACTTGTACCTTAGTTGCAGTTATTAAGATTTGCGAATATTATGTTAAAAATCATAGAAAGATTTACCTATGACCCCTAAAAGAATGACTCCAGCAACTACAGGGATAATAACAGAATACATTCTGGGAAGGAAGAACTGATGTAAAATGTGTCCACTTTCTACAAATGGCTGAAAAATAAAAATAAATAATAAATAAGCATATTAGAAAACATTGAAGTGTACAGCATTATAATTTCTTTAAAAGACATATATTACTGTTAATCATGTGGAATCTTGAAATGCTAAATTATACTAGACAGCTGTCTGTCAATTCCATGACAACTTGAACACTTTGGGAAACATTCAAGAGACATTTACGCGTGGAAATCTCTTAAAAACTTACCAGTACAATAATCCATATAGAATAATATATAAATATAAGTCCACCTAAGAGTACCATACCCATCCCTGCAGCTCGATCAAGTCCTGTTGCCTGCAAAGAATTAAATGTAATGAGTAAGAAAATGAAATATGGGGGACAATTTGGGGTATAAAGAATGGTGAATATTGGTATCAAGTTGAATCTTGCAATAAATATAGAAATTATTTCAAAACAACTGCGAATTAATAAAGCCATGATTTTCCTACCATTTCTACGAACGTCCACAAAATATTAACCACAAATAGACGAGCAAACTAAAGTTATTGCAGGAACAACAACTCCACGATCTCAAAACACTGAAATAAAATGACTTCTTTGAAACTTGACTGTCTTTCTGTGTCAGCGGTTTGCTAACCGGAACCGGAAGCTATTTAGCGATGAACTTAGATTGCCCAGTAATTTTTAATACAAATTTTTTTCCGCTAAAAATTGGGCAAAAATTTTTATGCATTGCTGAAACTGACTTGGAAAAATATTGTTTTCCTCTTTCAAAACAGAAATAAAGAAATAACAGAAAAATAAAGTCGATTGAAAAAAATGATCTTAATTAAGAATTTTAGCATAATATATTCTTTAAGAAGTCTAGTATCTTATGTATATTTTTAGCTTTTAGCAGGTTGTTCGATTTTTAAAAGAGATTTTCAATTTTCTAGAAAAGAAATCGAAAGTATCCCAGAATGCACTGGAAGTATATACGTTCCGCTAGGTAACCAGGCAGGGTGGTATAATGGACGATAATGCTAGTATACAGATCTCCCTTCAAAGTTCTTGAGAAATCCCCCTCTCCTCTACTCTATGCTTAATCTATATCCAATGGTTCAATAGTATCGTCCCTTTACTAAAATATAAATATGTTTAGCGCTCTAAAGAGATGGACGAAGATGGGTGCTGAGGAGTCCAAGTTAAGCATGCCTTCTGGTGTGAAAGCCATGGGACAAGCTTTACAGAGAAAATTTGCCCGTGGAGTTCAATATAACAGTAAGATTTACTTTAATATATGATTACCTGTCTTCTTCACATTGTATTTGTTAAATAAGAGTTCAAAAGCATGTATTTTTGTTAATTTTTTAAAATCTTAATTCAACTTTGGTGGTGTAAATGTACGAATCTAGGGCTTCTAAATGAATAAGCTTATTCAATATAACATTGACAGATTCGGCTTTTCCCCCTAATTCTTTTAGTTATTGATAGCATCAGTTTAATTATAACTGTGACACTTTAGATTAAATCCTTAGACATGACTTATATTTTCTAGTTTTCACAGTTTCTTTTTACTTACCGATAACTCAATAAAGTACAGTAATTATACCAGTTTTATAAATATGATCTTTATCTATTAATATTACATTCAGTAAATACTCCTACGCTTTAATCCTATTTTACAGTTATTCTACCTGTACATTAGGCATTGATGTATTGATTAATAGGTGTACATAATGTGTTATTTATCTTTTAAATGTTTGGTCTAACATCATTTCCTTTGTCTTTTTCACTCTCTCAAAAATATATTTCATTTTCTTTCTTATTCCATTCACTGTTGCCTTATCACTTAGTTTTTATTTTTTTATTTTTTTTTTGTCTATCTTACTTTCATAACCCTGTATAAGGTGGAGGAAAAGGCCCACTGAAGACGCTGGTGACGACTATCTTCAGTGCCAGTGCTAAACGCTACAGGGACCACTGTAATTGGGAAAAAAGCTGTTGAGGTGTCCCTGCCCTCATGGGAAAAGCTAATAAATAATTTTTTTTTAAATTGGTCTTTTTTTTTTCAATATCTTACTCGCATTCTCTCTCTCTCTTTTTTTCTCTTTTTTTCTGAGTCTTCCATTCATAATTCCTGTGTAATATATGTTTATACTCTAACTTCTTGTGTCCAGACAAGACTAATGATGCTTGTTATTTGTCTTCTCTTAGTGAAAATAATTATCAAAGGAGACAGAAATACTGGAAAGACGTGTATGTTCCATAGATTACAAGGGAAGCCATTTAACGAACAGTACATTCCAACCAATGAGATACAGGTACATGTATAGGATTTGTATTATCCTTCTTGATTAACCTCACCCTCTGTATTATTATCATTATTATTATTATTATTATTACTATTATTATCACTATTACTATTATTATTATTATTATCTTTCAATAAGTTCCCTCGGAGTATTTTCTAGTGATTGTGCAACATTTATTGAAATGTTAGAAAATGTAGGTTTGGACAAAAACCAACGTAAATATGTAATAAGGAAAATCATGAACATTGCTATTCGAACAACCTATTATATATTTTGCTGTAAAAACAAAATCTGGGATAACCCTGACTTGATGAAGTTTTAACTTTGCCGCTACAACTAAATGTGTGAAAAAAATGTATGATGAAAGATTAATATTTTTAGTATCTTTCATCATACATTTTTTTCACACATTTAGTTGTAGCGGCAAACTTCATCAAGTCAGGGTTATCCCAGATTTTGTAATATATACAGTATGAGTGGCCGTGTTGTATCTGATATACAAACTCGAGGCATAGCCGAGTGATTGTATATCTGATACAACACGGACGCGAATACTGTATATGACTTATCAAACGTCTAGGTTAGTTCCTTTGTGTTTCACTAAAAGTATCAAAATTAAAGTGAATTTCAGGCCAAGAAAATCCAACTTAAAGTTTATGCAAATGAACACAGTTTTGCATCAGATTTACAACACTCTTCACGGTCGTGATTTCTGTTGTGTTTTCCTCATGAATTATTAATGAGTTTGATAAGTACTTATATGTAAAAGATTCAAGTAGCTAATCGTAAATTGCCTATATATAGCAAGATTTACGATGGAATTTGGAAAACATAATAGAGTTTACATTATTATTATTGTTATTATTATTATTATTATTATTATTATTACATTTCTCCCATTTACCCCACCATTTTTTCCTTTCCTTTTTTTTTTCTTTTTTTTCTTTTTTCTTTTTGCATAAACTTACAGTACAGTACTGTACTTTTACCTCTTTCATGAATGATAATTAGTAATCCCCTCTTGGTACTATCCCCTTCACTTCCCCTAGTAAAGGGTTTAATAATAAATTCATATTTATTGATTGCCTAGTAAGTTGTTTGCATGCTTAGTTTACAAACCAACTGAACAGTTTTTAACTGCAATTTCTTTTTTAAGGCTGGCAGTATCCACTGGACCTACAAAGGTAACAATACCATGGATCCATTCAGCTTAACAGCATAATATTTTCCCATTTCAGGCCATGTGTCATTCCCTAGAGAATCTTATAACCAAGAGAATGACACATTGTCTAAAATAGGAAAACACTACACACGAGCTTAATAAGTGTATTGGTTTATATATAATTCTAGGCATACCTATATATTTTTGTATGATATATTTTCCTGAAATATTGAATATTTGTGATTCTGATTTCATTAATTAATTTCATTTTAATTTCATTTTTAGCTGCTGATGACATAGTAAAAGTAGACGTCTGGGATGTTGTGGATGTAGGTGCGTACTGGTACTTTAGTGTAATAAATAAATGTGTTCGGTGCAGTAAAGTGCAGTTTATACGTTCGTATAGCTGCTTAGTCTATCTATTTTTAAAAGTCCTTTTTTATATTTATAGGGAAGAGCAGAAAGCCCAGTGACACATTGAAGATTGAAAATAATGTAAGTAGAACAGTACGGAGGTTGTTTCAGGGTTTGATATGTGAGTTAACAGTGCCCTGACTTAGATCAGCCCAGAGGTTGTTTCAGGGTTCTATCTGTGAGTTAGCCATGCCCTGACTTAGATCAGCCCAGAGGTTATTTCAGGGTTCAATCTGTGAGTTAACTGTGTCCTGACTTAGATCAGTCCAGAGGTTGTTTCAGGGTTTGATATGTGAGTTAGCCGTGCCCTGACTTCAATCAGTCCAGAGGTTATTTCAGGGTTCAATCTGTGAGTTAACTGTGCCCTGACTTAAATCAGCCCAGAGGTTGTTTCAGGGTATTGATAAAAACTTTGAAGGCTTTTTGACCGATCATGCAAGATCAATTATTAGAAATGCTATAGCTAAATTCATTAATATTTGCTTGTTGTTGTTACTTTAGCCATCGACAGAAGGTGATGACGATGTGGTAGCTGACGCTAACTTCCTGGATGTCTACAAAGGAACACATGGAGTGATAATGTTGATGGACATAACAAAACCATGGTAAGAAAGGAAAATATGATGGAATTATTTCCCCAGGCAATTTGTTTGTGAAAAACAAATGATGATACTGTGTTAACAGCTATTTCACAGGGATTATAATAACTAAAATAAATTATTTTCATAATCTCTGTAAACAAGCTATTAGCATAGCCTCTTAACAATCAATCAAATTTCAAATTGATAAAGTACAAATACATCAATGAAAAAACAATTTGATGATAAAAAAGTATTTATGATTTTCTGATATATTATCATATATATATAACCCATCCTAGCTGTTCCCATTTCAATTGCCTTTATACTTAAGGTCTTTTTTTACATTCATTGAGACTTTTCTAACTTTTCTAACTCTTAGTAACTTGCTTTTATTTTTCCTCAGGACATTTCAGTACATCAGGAGAGAACTCCCTAAAGTTCCGGCACATATTCCTGTACTAGTCCTGGTATGTAACATGATTATTCACGTACGCTCCCAGGAGAAACAGTTATATGTATGTTAAAACATTGTTTATTTTAACAGGGAAGTCATAGAGATATGGAGGAACACAGGCTGATAGACCAAGAAGAAGTAACAAGTTTTATTCAAAATCTTGAGAGGTTAGGATAAATTTGAAAAAGTTTCAAATAAATAATCATATTCATTCATTCACTCATTTATTTGTTTGTTTATTCATTTGTTCATTATCTCATTCACTCTTTTATTTATTAATTCATTTGTTCATTCATCCATTCGTTCGTTCATGCATTTGTTTGATCATTCGTTTGTTTATTCATTTATTTGTTAGTTAGTTCATTTGTCCATTACTTTGTTCCTTCCTTCCTTCCTTCCTTCCTTCCTTCCTTCCTTTCATCTCCTCATTCATTATTTATTATCTATATTATATATATATAGGGCATTG